TCCATTTCCGATTTTCTAAAGGAATGATTGTCACCTCTTTTAGACTTTTTGTTGAGCATCGACCTCTGTTGGCCTGTAGTGCTATGGCAGGGAGGGTTACTCTGGAGAATTCTGCTGACCCTGCCAAGCGTGGAATCCTAAACCAGGAAGGCTACAATCACCCACCACTGGTGTTCAATTGTGTGGCAGGGAACACACCCCACTCCACCTGCCAGTTGCATGTTATATAAAGCCCGGCTTCCCCCTTCAGCTCAGGCGCCAACTGTCCACTTAGCTATTCTTCCTCTACCAGGTGACCCTCTGAGTCCATGTGACCCCCTTCCACTGTAGCCCCCACTACTCCTCTGGGTTCTATACTCCCGGGAATGACTCAGAGCTCACAGGAAACAACGGCTCTCACACAACAACAAAGGACAGAAGTAAAGAGAAGCCTGGGCCAAGGTCTGGGAGGGGTCTCAGGGCTGAGCATCTACACCCCAGGGACATTCAAGAACAGCGGACACTTTCTTTCCCAACCAGGAAGCCCACCACGGTCATGATCAACTCAGCAACAGTCTGTCTGGTGAAGCTAGTCAGCACGGGCCCCAGGTGGGCCCTGTTGGCTGGTCAACACCACTAATTAGCCTCAGATGCAGTCTCTGATGTAGGATGTAGTCTCAGATGGATTTCTCCTAGGGATCCAGAACAAGGTCAGACTGCCTTCTGAACTTCACAAGGGCTCATGTTGATTCCTGCATTTCAGATTGTTTAGCTAAGGCAGCGGTTCTCAACTTGTGGGTCACACCCCTTTGGGGGGAGGGTCAAATGATCCTTTCACAGGGGTCGCCTAAGGCCATCGGAAAGCAAGTCTTTCGGATGGTCTTAGGGACCGAGACACGGCTCCTCTATCCATCTCCAGGTGGGTCCTATCCTTTGATGATGTTCAATTTGTAACAATGAAAATATATCCTACCAGATATTTACATGACAATTCGTAACAGTAGCAAAATGGCAGTGATGAGTAGCAAGAAAATAATGTGATGGTTGGGGGGTTGCCACAACACGAGGAGCTGGATTCAAGGGTCACGGCACGAGGAAGGTGGAGAACCGCTGCCCTAGGCCATGTTTGGTGACCCCAGGTCCAGACACCCTCTTTTTCACCACTCCTAGAGTTTGTCTTGTCAGGATGGGAAGGGGATCGGGTGAATGCCTTTTACAACAGCGTTCGGCCAGCCCATATCTCAGCCCCTACCTGTATCCCTGCTTCCAAAGGGCCTCGGTGTATTGCTCATTCCTGAGCTTCTAGGGCTCTGGAGTCTAAGCTGGGGGACCCTCTGTTTTTCCCGCTGCCCATCTGAGCTTAGTTTTAGGTCTCTGAAGTCCTGTATCACCAGTCACCTGCTTTCCAGCGTCAGGGTTTGTTTGTTTGATCAAGGTCTCCTTTCCTATTTCCCCCATTCTTAAGGATCTGTGCCACGAGAACAGAAGGTGTTTCTTTTGGGTCCTCACACTGATTCTTTCAGCCACATTTCACTTTCTACCCTGGAATTCTAGACTCTAGAATCCATATCCTCCAAAACTCACTTCCTATCTAGAATTCTACAAATGAGAGCTACTAAAGGCACTCTGAAAGAGTTCTAGAATCGGATGGCCATTCGTAATTGAAATCTCTTATACAGGCGCTCACTGCCAATGAGTCGATTCCTATGCACAGGGGCCCAATACTGCAACCGTTTACAGGACACCTCATCTTTCCCCTGTAGAGAGACGCATGGCCTAAACAAACAAGCAAATAAAAAGACAACACTGCCGATGAGTTGATTCTAAATCAATCCCAAGTTGTTTCCTGCACTATGATGTCTACAGAAGTATACTCTTTCAGTCTGGGTGGACTAGAGAAAAAAATTCATAGACACTCATATGTGTATAAGAAAAAGCTTTATATCAAAGAGCAAAATCGTCTATTGAGAAAACATCCCAGCCCAGTCCAGATCAAGTCTGTAAGTCTGATACTAGTCCATATGTTCCGTACCAGCCTATAAATTCCTCTTCAGACTCACACAACACATGCAATGACAACGAGTGCAGGAAGATCACAGGCCAGTGGGTGGAAAGTCTTGTGGATCCAGTGGCGGCAGAAGCATTCAGTGCTGGCGTGGGTCTCCATGCTTGGGTTTCAGTGCCTCCAGCTCCAAGGCTCCATCACCGTAGTTCCATGTGGCTTGTCAACAGGACTGTCTTGCAGGGAGAGTGTGTGTCACGCCTCCAGAGAGGAAGACAGGAGCTCCCAGAATCCTTAGGAGAAGCCCATGCCCACACAGAGGCCTCATTGGCTATAACCTGATTGACAGGCTAGACTCCACCCCTACGCTCAAGTTGACGGTAGACTATGTAACTGTCACATATACTAACAGGTTTTGTTTCTCCTGAGGAATGGCTGGTAGCTTTGGACCACTGGGCTTGCAGTTAGCATCTGAGTGCTTAACCACTGCACCACCAGAGCTCCTTCATGGCTGGCTACAGTATTAGGGGACAAAACTCAAGGTGGCAAGTTATCCTTACAGGGGAGGATGGGAACAAAGTATTTTAGACACAGCTTTTCTGAAAACACCAAAGTCTGCATTCACAGAGACCAGAGCAGATTGATTTCCATGAAGGCAGAAGCCAGCCAGCACGCATGTTAAAGGTGGCATTACAGCTCAGCAGAGAGTTATACATGGCCCGACACACATACAGGCCTGACCTAGACTGACCCTTCTTCGAAGGTATCCGCTTCCATGTGCAGAACTAATTATTATGCCGGATTCTAACATTGCTACCAAAAACCAAACCAACACCAACACCAAAACCCCACACACTTGAATGTTTCGTGGACACCAGAACCTAAGTATGGAACATATGTTTGTACACACCTATGAATGAGTGACCCCCACACATGTGGAGGAGGAAGCAGGGTAGAGACAGCACAGCAGAAATTACACTTGCCTAGGAGGGAAAATTCCCAGCGTTATTATCATAGCATTTTCATAAGGAAGTCAACAAAACTGGAAGAGACGATCATCCGGCCAGACTCAACCTCGAACGACAACCAAAGCGGGGCGCAGGGTGTCAAAGCAGGAAGAGGGGGCAGCTGGAGGAGGAGGAGGAGGAAGAGGAGGAGGAGGACGATGATGGCGGGAGACGGCCACACATTGTCCGAACCCTACTCTTTGGGA